GCGACGACGACGACACGACACACACACACACACACACACACACACACACACACACACACACACACACACACACACACACACAAACACACACACGGCCGTGCATGTTGAAAAAGAACAGACACGAAAACCAGCATCGCCATTCTTGTGCCACATGTGTCGTAACGCACCTGAATGTATCCCTTGTTTGGGTTGAGCTGAGCCGGGTTCACCTCTTTCGAGTCCTGAATCATCACAATTGCGTCCTCCCCATACCTGACACCAAACCAAAGATAATGCACGCTCGCGTGAACACAAATGTGAGAGTGCACGCGTGTGCGTGTGTTCTGTTCTCCCCAAACATGCAATGCCCCTAAACCCAAACACCACACACAAACGCATGTTCACAAACACACGTACACACGTCCACACGTCCACACGCTTCCTCCCTTCCACCAGCACCTGGTCTTGAACGTTTGCTCGAGCCGCTGCGACACCTCTGCCAGCTTTGTCAGGCCGGGCTCCTTGTACACGTAGCCCTAATGTGGTGTTGGCACATCCAGGATGGTGATCGTCAGCAGGCAAAGAGGCCATGAACGCCCACACATATGCAGACACGCACGTGCACACACACACACACACACACACACACACACACACACACACACAAGCGCTCACCAGCGGGTTGAGCTCTTCCTTGAAAATGGAACCAAAGAACTTCACGCGATAGTACTCGCCGAGATAGCGGGGGCCTTTCTTGGCCATCTGTCGCAACAAGCGTGATGGGAGGGGGATGAGGGTGATGATTGGGATTGGACACGAGGGTGGACAGGCGACAACAGCGGAAACGTGTGCTTGAGCAAGAAGGACCGATACGTGCACGCAAACGAACCACCATACAAACAAACAAACAAACACACCAACAAACGGCAAACCACTGCACACCTCATCGATGAGCTTGTAGTTGTCGCTGAGACGGCCGTGCAGTTTGCACAGCGCCTGGTAGTCCCGCCGCGATTCCAGGATGGGAATCACAAACGACAGCAGCTGCAGCGCGTAAATGTGTGTGTGTGTGTGTGTGTTTTGGAAAGTGAGGGAGCAAGGAAGATGATGAGCCGTGCTGTGGAGAGATGTGATTGCTGATTGCGTGTCTGGGTGGACGCTGTCTTGGTAACGCCTTCGCCTGAGAACAATAGGGAAGCAACCGTTTCTGAAGCAGTAGCAGCGACGCACACACATGCACACGCGCATACACACGGCTACACACACATGCACACGCACACGCACACGCACGCACACACCTGGTTTGCAGTCTCTGCCATCTTGGCATCGAGGAGGTGGCCGACGGTGATGTTGATCAGGTGGATAAACCCGTCGGGCTTGAAAAAGCGGTGCGTGCACATGCTCTCCTGTGGGGGCGGGGGAAGAGGGGGTTGACGTGTGCGGAGGAGACGTGAGCAAATGATTTCACATCACAGCTTGTGTAACGCCATGAAAATGATAGCAACGCAAATTCCAACACATTTACACACACACACGCGCGCGCGCACACGCACACACACACACACACACACACACACACACACACACACACACACACACACACACACACACACACACACACACACACACACACAAGGGACAGGTTGGTGTTGTGCGCACATTGTCGGACTTGTCTGTTTCCTGTGCGACTGCCGTCTCCTCCTCGGCATTGGGACTGATGTGGCGAAACGCTGAGCACCCGTTGCGCACAAACGGATTGTCCTGGCAGTGGCGATGACGGTGGTGATGGCAGAGGTGCTGAGAACTTGCGCACAGGATACAGGTGCGAGCGCGACAGTGTATGTGTGTGTGCGTGCGTGTGCGTGCGTGACAACAAAATTTGGCAGGATGCAACACTACCTGGAGGGTGAGCAGGTGTTCGGCGACAAGAGCGGCCGCTTGCAGGAAGCACTGTAGCGATTAACACAACGCAACGCAACGCAACGCAACGCAACGCATTCCATTGCTGTCAGTCGAGCCACGAGTACATGGAGCACCTAGCACAACGCACTCAACGACAAGCAAACCGCTTTGGTCATTTCTCCATGATTGCATTGGATGCGTCTATGCTGTGTGATCAAACCTGCGCAGCCTCGGCGTGGTGCCCCAGCTCCGCCTGTCGCCCCGCCAACGACTTCAACCACGTGATCCTGCAACAACAAAGTGCACGTGAGAACACATGCAACGAGTACGCGCGCGTGTCACGCTGCCGTGTCCAGCACAAACACCAGCACCAACACTGCAATGGCCATCAAAGTTATTACCACCACCACCACCACCACCACCACCACCATCACGCGTGTGTCTCCTCCCATCTCTCCCCCCCCCCACCTGAGGTCTGGCGACGTTTTGTAGTTGTCTGCGATGCGGAGGTGAAGGTCGATGGCCGTCTCCGGGTCGTGCGCCATCAGATCCATCTGCGCGGTGTCGCGGAGGATCTCGTACAGCTGCAGCGCAAGCCCTTCAACCTGCCGCCGGAAGTCCTGCCATCACCAACGCCACCGTCACGGTGTATGTGTGTGTGTGTGAGAATGCGAGAAAGGAACAACTGCAATCCTCGATTCAACTACAGAACCACTCTCTCTTCATACTACCACTTTCACACACACACACACACACAACACACACACACACACAACACACACACACACACACACACACACACACACACACACACACACACACACACACACACACACACACACACACACACACACACACACACACACACAAACACACACACAGCCCATAACCGCAACGCACCGCGGCGTTCTGGAGGCCCTGGCTCTCCTCCTCTGCGTATTTGATGATCGTCGCCCACGACCGGCGGAGATTCACATCCGACCACTCCCCGCGACCCGCGCTCACAATCTGCACGTGCGAAGCAGATGCGAGGTTGAGCAAGATGAGGCGGGAAGAGGGTGTAACTCTGATCACAGCGTAGTTCAGGTATGGGAATCTTTCACACACACACACACACACACACACACACACACACACACACACACACACACACACACACATCCACACACCACTCACACATACACACACCACTCACACACACTCACACACACGCACGCACACGCACGCACGCACAAAACACATGCAAACGTACGCGTGAGAGGGCGAGCGTCGTCTGCACTTTGATGCGGGTAAAGTTCTGGAAGTCCTCGTCGACGTAATTCTTGCGCATGAGGAGGTAGAGGTACGCCGTGGCCTGCTGTCGTGTCCTGTTCTCGCTCTTGTTGCACTGCCGCAGCACCTGCTCGCACAACCGCCCGGCAAAGTCCGTGCTCGGCGCTTTGTAAATCAGCTCGGGGAACAGGTGCACAAAGTCTTGATGGAGGGGAGGCGTTGGAATGTGTATTTGTGTGTTGTGGATGCCATTGTGTGCGTGTGTGTGCGTGTGCGAGGATGCGTGTGCGTGCGTTGTGTTGTGTCAGCATACGGCATACGATCAGAGTGAGCAGTTGTACAAGCCAAGTGCACGGGTGCTGAAATGGCATGCCAACCGCTACAACACGCACACGCCTTCTCTCCCTCCTCTCCCTCTCAACAAAGCAAAATTCCGCCACCATTGCCGCACTTGTGAGTGTCTGGAAGAGGAGGTGGGTGGACTTGATGCTCAGGTTGGATCCCATCAGTGACATCAGGATTTGGAATACCTGTTGTAATTACAGCGGTGTTAGTTCATTGGGCAAAGAAAACAAACCACGAAACCAGGGGTAGAGAACAAGAGAGTGCCACGAGGCAAGAAATGATCACACGTGAGCTTCGTGTCTGCCAACACACAAACACGGTCAACGTTGTTGTGACCACCGTGACACACAACACGGTCACAGAACCAGCACATGCTCTCACAGACGCGCCACCACACTTACGAGCTCCATGAGGTCATTCTGGCCGTAGAGTTCGCGAAGCGACGACTTGAAGTCGTCCATGAACATCTGCACAACCAAAGCAGCACGCAGGGTGGTTGTCACGGTGAAGGTGCGTTGCTCGTTGTTGGCTGCTTGGGATAGGTTACTCGTGATGGGTGGCGTCGCACGCAATCTACGCGCGAGCGCAAACGCGCACAGCACGACAACCACCTGTAATACCGCCAGCATCAGCACACCAGTCACCATCGTCATCGTCATCATGAAATACCTCGAGCACGTCCAGCACGATGACCGTCATCTCGTGGCTCAAATTCTTCGCCATCTGCACACACACACACACACACACACACACACACCAGACGCATGTGAAGGGATGTGTTGTGACACTTTGGGCGTTGCAATGCAATGGCGGATTATCACACAATCACATGCAACAGTGAGCAGCGAATGTGTGCATATCTGTTCTGTGTGTCCGCACCTGCACGCTGATGATGACCTCCTCCTCCGTGGTCTCCTGCCTCGTGCCGTATCTGTCACCAATACACACGCAGGGACAGCAGACGTCGGTGAGCAGGGAGCGCACACAGGGATTCGGTGCATGCGCGCAGGCAACACGACGACAAGCAGTGCAAGCACGCGCCAGCACCACCACCACCATCACCGCCACTCCTGTCACTATCATCACCTGTGAAAGTCGTGGCTCTGCAGTGCCATGCCCACGGCGGAGAGGCGCCCGTGTGTGTCCCCCGGATCAGACGACGACAGCGGCGACTGGCCCGCTGTTGAGGTAAAGGGGAGGGAGGAGGTGGTGGCAACACAGTGATACGAGCATCGCAGGCGCATTAATATCGGCGTGAATGCCCATGCACATGAGTGTGTGTGTGTGTGTGTTTGGGGGGGGGGGTTGGATCTTGGCATGCGATCATGCTACGGCATTGATGATTGCAAAACAAACTCCGCAACTCACCAGACCATGTTCCTGTCTTGAACTTGCGAGCTGCAGAACGCATACACGCACACACACACACACGTACACACACGCACACGCACACGCACACGCACACATGCACATACAGGCATTGAGGTGAGAATTCAGTGTCAATGAACTAGAAGGTGGAAAACGGGCACGCAAACAGCGTTTGCAGGGTGTACTCATTGCACCTCTGAGCGGAGTACCGCCGCTCCCCTCGGGTCCTGCTAGTGATGTGGCATGAGACATGTGAGCACGGTCGCGTGAATGAAAGTGAACAATTCGCATCAGCATTCACGTCCTTAGGGGGATGGGCATGCTTCACAGTGCATGCAAGCACACAACACCAGACAGCATGCAACGTGTCACAAACTGCATCGTGACCGGACCTGAGAGGAGCTTGGACGCTTTGCCGCTGCCACCGCCAGCGTAGTTCGCTTCCAGCAGCTTTCGACGATTCGACTGCACACGATGAGGCAAGAAGAAGTGATGGTGGAGCAGGAAGCGTGAAAACGAGCGATGAACCACGCACACGCAATGGTGAAGCAAGCCACACGCACACACACACACACACACACACACACACACACACACACACACACACACACACACACACACAAAACATAGAAAACGCACACACACACACACAACACACGCACACATACACACAACAAACGCACACACACACACACACACACACACAGGCTCACCCTTGGGGAGGGGGCGGCCGGGGAGCGGGCGTGTTCTGTGACGGCAGCCTGTCCAGGATACTCGAGTGAACCAACAGCGAGGATCAGCATCTTCAGAAACGTCTCCAGCTGCACGCTCTGCTTCGACTGCGTGTTCCACCTGACATGGATGAAACGAAGGGGGCGTGGGTGGTTGTGGAGAGCAGTGAGATGTGGCGTTGAACAACATACGCATGACTCCAGCACCATCACCACCAACAACGTGATCACCACCCATCTCAATCACCACCACCATGACAATCACCACCTCGACCACCACTACCACAACCGCGTCTGCCTCACCAGTCGCGCAGGACGGTGTGGTCGCAGGATTTGATGATGTGGAGGAAGACGACGAGCAGCCCACGCACTTCGCGATCCGTCAGCTCAACCTCCTCTGGCGGCGATGATGACGACGACGACTGCACACGGGGCATGGCGGCGCAGTGTTTGGTGGAAGAAGAAGTGAGGCGCTGACTCAACACGACAGTGCACGTGCGCACAGACGAAACGAACGTACACGCACAGACGGACACAGACACACACGCAAAAGCGTACGCATATGCACACGCCTACATGTGCACACACGCAAAACAAACACACACACACACACAAACAAACACAAACACACACACAAACAAACACACACAAACACACACACAAACAAACACAAACACACACACACAAACACAAACACACACACAAACACACACAGACACACACACATCCATGCATTCATTCATCCATGCACGCAGCCTCACCTCCGTGTGCTTATGTGTCGGTGGCGGTGTGGTGTCATCCCCGCTGCCGCCACCTGCCTCGTTGCCGCGGACAATGGCCTCGTGGTTGCGCTCTGCACGGGCCATGAGCGGCTTGTACTGCAGGAGAAAGAGGGCGAGCGGGAAGTACAGGTTGCTCACAGCGGCGTGGCGCTCGGCTCGCTGCAGGCGCGGATCGCAGCTGTGCCTATCGGGGCCATTCATGGTGATAGCGAGCAGACGAAGCATGGGGTGTGGTGGTGGTGTGGTGATTTGGCGTGAGAGACAGGGGCGAAGGCGTTAAGGGAAACCAAGCACACACACACACACACACACACACACACACACACAAGTATCAAGCACGTGCGTAGACGAGGAGCAACTACCATCATCACCATTACCACCATCATCATCATCACCATCACCATCATCACCATCATCATGAGCGGTGCACTGACTCGAGCAGCTTGTCGTAGATGAGGCGGATGGCGGCGTATCGGCTCTCCTGGGACCTGCAGGCAGCCATCATGACCAGGTCACACCGGTCACGCCATGACAGTGACGAGGGTTGAAGGAACCCCCTTTACAAGACCATGCAAGCTTGCACACACACACACACATACGCGCACGCGCGCACTTGCACACAAGGCACACGCGCACACTCACATCCACATCCACGTGCATACACAAACGACGCAATGGCTCGCGCCTATCGTACCCGTGCTGCAGGGCGTAGCACACCTCCGCCACCAGCGCGTGAGCGAGGAAGTGCGAGGCAGAGAGATTGCACCACGGCACAGTCCCGCCGTCCGGTTTTCGATCGCGTCCAGCGAGGAGGACCGTGGACGCGCGGCGCCGGAATCCGCTTCCTTTTGATGGCGATGACGCAACGAGCGTGGAGGAGGCCGCGGTGGCCACGGCAGCACTTGCACGGTGGCTGCCGGGGGAGAGTGTGGAATGTGAGGAGAAATGACGGTTTTGGAGAGAGGGAGAACGTTGTGTCAATCACGGGCAAGTGCATGAGATGCGACGTGGCAATCCAACATGCAATGCATCACGGCACCGCCACCACCGCCACCGCCACCATCACTGCTCGCTTACATGTCTGTGATTGGGAGATTGAAGGCGACGTAGTGCTCATGCGA